TAACCACAAGAATAATATTATAAGAATAATAATTTTCATTTTATTTATGTAGAATATAAATTCCTAAGTACTCGCAAATTCAAGGTCAGCTGAAAGTTGCCAGAGCAGCAAGACTGTTTCATTAGCAACACAATAAAAAACAACAGCAAAACTTTAACAAACCCATTAGACATCCTGAGACTGCAGAGGCTGTGACACACAGCCTTCAACACACACCTTGATCTCCAAAAAAAATGCTGAAAGGACGGCAGCAGCAGATAAAGCCAAGCCTCAAGACAGCCAGAGTGAGAGCTGGAGTAAAATAAAAGTCATAGCAAACACAGGCTTCAAAGAGTGGGAAAAACAAGCACATACTCCAGTGTAAGTACAAGCACAACTGTTGGCGAAAGTGTTTGTGTTCATGGTAAGAGGAAAGAAAACAAATGGAAGAAAAAAAAGTCACTGAGAGACACCAGAACTCCTTGGTGCACTAAACTTGCAGAAAAGACAAGCTTAGAAACTGCAGGCAAGGAAGCTGTTTTTCTGCTTTTTGTTTCTCCATTGTCCACAGAAACAAGACCTTGAATATTTGAGAGAGGGGAGGAAAAAAAAAAACCACCAACCATAAAAGCACCCCACCCAAGGCATTATGAAAGAAATATGTGACTCACTCATTGCCAGTATCTACTCTCACTTTTGTGGTGTATTTATCTGCCCCCTTGACACACAAGTGTAGAAATAGAAATGGATGTGTATTTGGTCTGTACATAAATTGCTGGAGAGATGGAACAGAGCAACCCAAAGTGATCGTGGTGCAATATAATTATCATCCATAGGACTCCCCTCACAAACCTTTACTTTTTGCTCCATGCTTTGGCCATCCTACATGCAAACACCTGATTTAGGTGTTTGAAGCATGCTGGCTGTTTGCAGAGCATCCTTTTTAGACTACGTGCAATCTTTCAAGCTTAGATGGTCCAAAGGCACTGGGTATATTGAGATACCAAACAAGAGCTATACAGAGAAGCTTTTCTACAGCATTATTACTAACTAGCAACAGCCCTACTCTCCTGGTGTATGGTGTATGTAGGTATTTATATATAGCAAGATTTTCTGTAGTGATCAGTCTAGATAGTTAATCACCAGCAGATATTCAGCTCCATGATAAGACAAGAACTGGCATTACAATTAATTCCAATTGTCTTAATGAGGACTTCTAACCAAAGGAAAGCATTTAACACGGATGGGCACTCGAATAAATCAGAAGTTCTTAGTGACTTAAAAACATTTAAACTGGGATGTGTTTCATTTTCAGGCTGAGAGATTTTTTTCCACGTCCTGAATAGATGATCAAACTACCCAGTGAGCAAGATAAGACCATGAGAACTACTGTAGAGCTTCACCAAAGAGACAGTAGATGAAGTGAGAGGGGCCACCTAAAAACATACACTGTTCACAACTTCACAGCTTAGAGTCAATAAAGACCATTCATCACATGTGCAAGGTCAGGACACAAAGGCCAATACATTTGACTCACACCAGCCTGCACTGGCTACCACATGCCATTCTTTCACAGCTCAGCAGCTTTCCTGGTCATCACTAGGGATTTCAGCAGAGCTGTGTCTTCCAGTGATCTTCAAAGATATTCTCAGAAAAGGCATTTGGCTCTAATGGAGCTAAGAGTCAGAAATCAAATCCTTCCCTTTGATATTGTCGTAAAGCCATGAATGAACCTATCACCCCTTCCTCAAGTCATGAGATTAGCTTGAAAACAATACTGTCATGTGTTTATTTGCCTCCAGCATTAGATGCTCAGATCCCTATTTTCAAGCTTTCTACAATTATCTATTTGAAAGAAAGAGAAAGCAAGCCAGGATTCTTGTGTGGCTAATGTACATCAAGCTGATGCTTTAAGAAAAACGGCAGCCATCATGAGAGTTGGCAACTCTCAAATTGCTGGTTATGAAGGAAAGAATATTAAGCAGCTATCATCAATCTATCTACATCCAGGAAGTGAGCCATGAAATGCTGACAAAGGGGAATATCTGGTCTGACAATGACGGTATATTTATCTTTTAAATTAAGAATAATGGAGTTACACTGAAGAGACTCATTTTAACTTTGCAACAGTAAAGTATCTATCTCATCACCTTAGGGTGATATTTGAGCACCTCAGGGTAAGAGAATTTATTCTATCAGCTCTTTCAAAGACCACCATTTTACACAGATAGTTACCACAACACTCCAAAGATGCCACAGGACCTGCATGAACAGAAGAAAAGGAGTGTAGAAACCAACCTTCCGAGCAGCACCAGCACAGCCTCCTGTCAGTGGTTGGCCAGATACTCAATGCCCTTTTCATCCTCAACTTCTCTTCTGCCACACAGGGATAACACCAGACTATCACAACGGTGTTGGGGTTTGGGGTATTTTTTGAGGATGAAAACATCTTCATGCGTTTTGTTTCCCAGCACACCAGGCCTTGTGACTGGGAGCGTGAGTGGTGTGTATGTGCACAGACCATCACACAAGAAGAGCACAGCTGTGCACAGGGGCTGCATCCTGGGGCAGGAGCCACAGCACTGAGGTACAGCTGACACTGGCTGCACTCCTACCCTGCACTCCTACCAGCCCTGGGGCCGGCTGAGCACCCTCATCCAAACCCACACCAAGCTATTTTTTTACCGACCACTACCAACAAAACCCCCAAAAAACCCAAACCCACTAACAAACAAATCCCAAAAACCAAAACCACAAGGAAAGGATGACACTGATGTGTGATTGAAACAGTAGGATACAGCTTGAGTTATAAGGAAAATTCCAAGTGCATTTATAATTAAGGAAGCCAGAGAAACTTAGCATTCCTGCACAGGTATGATTACCTGTACCTAAGTTAGCTACAGATTTCTTACTAGGATCTATACCACCTTTTCCTCCCCCAGAAAGACTGGACCCCAGCCCCTACAAAAATATCTTTTTTGTTACTTTAAGCTAGTCATGAATTGATCATATCATCCCAATATCTTTTCTAGGGGCTGGATCCTTCCAACAAGGACTCATGCTCCCCCTAAATTCTGAAAAACTCACCTGCTTTTCTTCCTCATTACCCATGCTCTGTCTGCTGAAATTGTGAAGAAAGTAGGAGAAAAAAAACCCTCAAGCAGTGCTAAGCGATTTCACTGCTTATAGAAAAACTCCATCTTGGACTTCTACAGAAGTACTAAGATCCTACCCTCCTCACAAGAAAATGAGTACTTGTTTCTGGAGACACAACAGCTGATCCCAATGAACATTTTCTCTCCCACCTGCCCCCTAAATAGCACACAGCTGGGTCACACCTCTAGCCAGCCCAACCTCCTTTTGCTTTGTGGGGCAGCAAACCAACTCTCTGTCCTCAGCTGAAGTGAGGAGCAATGAGATGTATTGTGGCCAGTTCACACCAGAATGTGGTCACTGGGAAAGGAGCTACAGCTGCTGTAGTTTGATGCTCCCTCATCCTTCCAGAGGTTGTGCTCGGGCAGCCATCCCTGTGGGTGGCAGAGCATCAGTGTTAGCACCCTGCCTACTAAACAGACACCTCCTCTCTCCTTCAGATGCTCTGGAAAATTTACGTATCCATTTGTTTTACTACCAGAGTAGTAGTTTAACACTACCTTAACAGCAGCCAAAAAATGCAGCATCATGCATTAAATCTGCACTATTAGTTGACACATCTCAGCTTCACCGACCGTTCTCTCAGACTGCAGTGGCCCAGCCCAGGCAGCCAGTGGTGCTGAGCCCAGAGCATACTCTGGCTGCCAGCGTTTTTGTGCTGGGTCAAGCACGCAGACAGGCAGCACGTGGTTCCTCATGCTGGGAGACCAAGGGCTTTTTTCCTATTTGTTGCTCTCTCCGGGGTTGTTCTTGGCAAGGAGGGTGAGAGCGCAGCACCCTCACTCACAACTTCTCAGCAAACTAAGCGGACTTCAGCCTTCAGTAAAATCAAAGCTCTGGCTTTGCTTCAGCTATGCATGGAGAGGGGGTGCCTATAGAAAGGAATTAGAGCTTGAACACAGAGTAAAACCAGAGCAGAGCAAAAGCTTCAAATCCTGAAATCACATGACTGAGCTTTCCTAACCATGCAGTAAGCATGTTGCTGTACCAGAGCTTGTTCCCATCAGAACAGCAGGCTCATAAGTACTTTAAAGCTATTAAAAAAAGAGTAAACCACCAAAAAATACCTAAATTGAAATGAAGCAGCTGAAAAACTGTGCTGGAGTTTTAAGAGTAGGCCAATGATAAGTTTCAAGGAAGAGAGACAGTGGTAAGGAAGCCACTCACCTTGATAACAAAACCCTTTCTGTTGACCTATGTGAGGAAAGAGCCACCAGTAATTTAGACAGGAAATTTTGTACTGTTTTCTTTGGTGGAAAGTGGGATTTGGAAGAAAATCCTTAAATCTTTCAAGATCAGAATGATCTATTTTCTCCTGAAAATAAACACAGAACTGATTTCTGGAAGTTAGTTGTCACCCCTAAAAATCTTGACTATTAAAATCATTCTTGCTCTAGTAAAAAGCATTCTGGGCCACAGAGAGGTCAGAAATGGGCAACAGCAATTGCTGCAGAATTTGCTGCTCCAGAAAATTTTTCTCTGTGTTCCTATTGTAATAGTGGCTGTACAATTATGTTTTATTCAAACCAAAAGGAAAATTTGCACTTTTTCACCTTATCTTATCTCTTGTATCCTAGAGAAGGGTTGATCACACATTAGCCAAACACCACAGACACAGGGAATGAGGAGAGTTTAGAGGGATTAGATGCAATGGAGCAAAACAATATGCTCCAGTTTGCACTTCTTACTCACAAATGCGGGCATCAGACCTGCACCTCACAAAGAATCAGAAATAAAACAGGCACCCCAAAAAGCCATTTGGCATCATAAGGTTGGAAATGTTTACACACACGTGTATAAGTGATACTATGGAAACACAACTCACTTCCTGAGAAAGTAAGTAACTGGGGAAGGGCAGGGGAGACGACTTTACAAAGCTTAAAAGACTGAATTTTACTCTTTAATCCTCAGTTATACACATGACTTCATTGTGGAAAGGTTGCCAGACAAAGGAGTTCAGTGAACTGGGTCTGAAGGGAGGGATTGTGTGTAGGTCTCAGCTCTGCTCTTGCAAACGTTCACCTAAATTTCACAGCCATCTGCCCCAGCTAAGGGGCAGCCCTGTGCTCCCACAGTCCGGCACAGGGGATCCTGGTAATCAGTGGGAATAAGCAAAATTGTCACAGCAGAAAAAAAGATACGGAGTACCTTTGACCTCCCCAGACAGCCCACGGCACCCGGGTGTCACGGTCAGCACCTTGCACCAAGACCTCACTCGCCGCGGCCAAAACCTCCGTTGTCCCCCAAACGCAGCGCAGGACAGGGCGAGGGCCGGAGCGCGGCTCCCTGCGGGACCGTCAGGCGCAGCCCAGGCTCGTGAGGCGCTGCCGCAGACCCCCGGACCCCTCCTGCAGCTGGCAGGGAGCGGCGGGACCCCTGGGAGGGGTGGGACCCTGAGGGGGGTGGCAGGACCCCTGAGGGGCGGCGGCGGGACCCCTGAGTGGGGCAAAAGACCTGACAGGGGCGCGACCCCTGCGAGGGGCGGCGGGCCCCTGAGATGGGTGGTGGGACCTCAGAGAGGGACGGCCCCTCAGAGGGGCGGTGGGGCCCTGAAATGGGTGGTGAGACCTCAGGGAGGCACGACCCCTGAGAGGGACGGTGGGACCCCTGAGATGGGTGGTGGGACCTCAGAGGGACACGGCCTCTGAGAGGGGCGGTGGGACCCCTAAGATGGGTGGTGGGACCTCAGAGAGGGACGGCCTCTGAGAGGGGCGGTGGGACCCCTAAGATGGGTGGTGGGACCTCAGAGAGGGACGGCCTCTGAGAGGGGCGGTGGGACCCCTAAGATGGGTGGTGGGACCTCAGA